CTCGTATCAGACCTGTGGTCAAATTGGCCATGATCAGAGATACTCCAAAAACAATTGAAATAATTTGACATTTATCAAATTAGTTGTCAAATTATTGTTGTCTGAATAGTTTCTGCTGAAAATTTAAATAAAAATGCCTGGCGATTGTTTAAATTATACTGATGAGGACTATTTTAATTTGTTTGTTATTTATAGAAAATGTGACAAAATTTCAGGAACATGTAAAGAATTTGCTGCTTTGCACATTCTGTTAACACCTAAAAAAATTACATTGAAATTTCACTCAGTATAATTAGTTTTCATTATCTGATAGATATCGCTACACAGGACTTCAATTAATTAATCCATTTCCATCTATATATACATAGTGTTTCCAATCCAAAATCATCTAAAAATGGAAAAAACTACATCCTTAGGTAATTCTAAGAAAAATTCATTCAAAATTATCTCCTAATGTCCTATTCTGACATAAAATTTTAATTTTCGGACACTGTAAAGAAACAATGACAAAACAAAAATACAGTGAAAATTGATTACAATGACATTGCTTTATACGACATAGGTATTGGATAAAACGACAGAATTTGGAAGTCCGGATTAAATCCTACAAAAATACCATATTAAAAATATCGTTTGCTACGACACCGTTTACAATAATATTTCGGATTTAGAGACGCGTTTTTATATACATTTACCATAGAATCTATCGGTTATAACGACCAATAGTGATACAGTAAGACCACGCTTAACGCGTAGGATACGTTCCATCAAAGTAGAGCGTAATGCAAAACAGCGCTAAACGAGGCTATCTTAACATGTAAATAATGGGGTTAGGAAAAGATGGATAGAAAATTGGTTAGGTATTAAATTTAATAATTATGTTTTTTTTTTAATAAAAGTAAAACCAAACATTTATTTCTTACAAAAATAAAAACAATATAAACGAATATTACTTATAAAAACAAATAAAATTCTAAGTCAGATCATTCAGTCTATTCTGTGTTTCCAATTTTCTGCCTTTTTGTCAAGAAGGCATCTAATGTAGCTTGCGTTTTCCTTTTGCGTTCTGTTAGAAGTTGTTGATAAGTGGATAAAGCATCTATAACACCCCGTCTTGCTTTTGAACTCCTGTCAAAATTTGGATCATTTTCAACAAATTGGTACATAATTCGTCCGTACAGCACCGCACCAAACAAGAAACACAACTACACTGTTTCGGATAGGTTATGTACATATTTGGAAACCTAGCGCTGCACACAATTTCGGGGAATCCCCATAGTGCTGCGAGCAATTTCGGGGAATTCCCGGGTTGAAATAAAAGAGCGCTAAACCGAAACAGCGCTAAACGAAACAGCGTTAAGCGGGGTCTTACTGTATATGGCCTTAAAACCAATGCACCGCTCTTCCATACGTTTGGGACAAATTACAACTTATCTACGCATACAGTTATATTATATGTATTAATTACCACTTTCTATCACGATATCGAAGAGAATAAAGAAGAAAAATCACATATAATATAGAGACTAAAAAACGGAGAAACTAATGCAAGCAAACAAAAGAATGTGGGGTGTCACACTACGATTTCAACAATTTGAAAGGATAGAAATAAAGTCTCTATTCGAAAACAATTCATTAAAAATGAAGCGCGCGAAATCTTTTGAACACTATGTACATACTTGTGGGTACACATGTTGCAAGTGAACCATTTTTAAGTACAACGTCAATAGCGCCATCCTGATCCATCCGGGACGCAACAGGTTTCCAAAAAAGGTTGACGGCAGAGTGGCGCCGAGGACCAGATACTTCTGCGAGCGACTCCACACCAAGGGCGACTCTCCAGCAAGCCCTCGAATCGACAACACGTCTTTTTTCACAAACTTAGTTTTCAATAAAAATACTTTATTTGTACCATTGAGAGCCTTTTATTTTTACTGTACAGCAAAAGCAACCCTCATACTTAAACACTTGTATTAAATTTCTCATTTTTTCTATAAAAATTTTAAATAAAATAGATGCAATTGCTTATTACGTCTATTGGTTATATCAACCGTAAACAAACGGTCCCTTGAAGGTCGTTATAACCGATTTTCACTATAGTAATGGTTAAAATTAATTTGCTCGAATTTGATCATACCTTTTAAAATATACTAAAAACGTTTTTCACATACCAAACATTTTTAATACTCGGAAATTAAATAACTAAAACACCTTAAAACATTAAATTACTGAGTGCATGTGCCCATAGGCATGGAAAATTCGTTTGGTAGAAATAACTTTGTTCCTAGAGCAATCCAAAAGAGTATCTATAAGCTTGAAACCCTCCGTTTCGAATCAAATCTGATTGTTGTTGACTATTGACAACTGTTTTTAATGCCAACAGCCATTTTCAGACTATTAAGTTTGAGACAGCATGTTAACTGGTTAACAGGTTAACAAACTATACTATAAACATAACGTAAAACACACCACAGAAATGAGAAAACCCCCAAATCCAAAGTCAAAGGCTGTGCGGAAGGGGGCTACACTTGAAAAACGCGGACAAACACCCATTATCTATCGACATTGATAGTGCCGACACCGGGGATCGAACCCGGACCAGAATAGGAAGCCTGGCCGAGAAATGCTTGCCACCACACTCTCTACCGACTGTGCTACCGTGGCGATTATATTATTTATTATATACTATAACAGGTAATACCCCATGCTGTTTTAGACAAAGGACATTGTTTTAACAAAATATTTGAGTGAATGAAAGACGATATAATAATTTATATGATCTAAGAGAGAAAACATTGAACAAAGTTATTACCAGCAATGGGACAAATATGGCATTAAAATTTTACATTTTTACATCTAGAACGCTAAATGGTACTTTTGCATTCAAGAATGGAAGTTATTTTGCAAACAATATTTTTTCGAAAACTGCAATAAATTTAGACAATTTTGTTACATCAGTGGCGATTCGCCAGGTGACGCAAGTAATGCACCGCTTCACCTAGAATTTTCGTTTGGTTGTGCAATTTAAAATTATTTATAAATTTTATAATTTAGGTATAATTCTATATTGAAAATGTATTATGTTTGTTTAACACGGAGAAATAAACAGAATAGTTTCGCAGTGAACGCCTTCTAAAAAAACATTGCCTTCGTTGAGTGTGGACATCAACCTCGTACCATACAACGTATAGTATAAGCAAGTGACGCAGATCGAAGTCGGTCTGTATTCCGCTTCTCTTCGTAGCGTTGTTTACGCCGGTTCTCATGGTAAAATCACGCTAAAATTGAAGCAGCATTGTTATCGTCCATAGTCTGCCTTTAAACAGTTTATACGATACACGTCACCCAGTGCACGATTATAACGGATCTTAGTTAATATTTGTTTTATATAATAATTGTAGAAATATTTCCTATGATCCAGTATGTGTTTTATTGGAAACGCCATTTTCCAGATGGAAAATTAAGGACAAAAAAATAAAAAAAAATTTTTTAAATTGCGAGAGACCTGTGCCTTATTCTCTAGATATGGAAAAAAGGGGAAGTCAAAATACAATGTGTACGTTCGGAAGTTTCGGAATGAATGGTAGTCGGAGTACAAGTGGTTGTGTGGAAGTGTTTATTTAAAATAAACTTTTCTGTATGCAGTTTAATTGTGGGTGTAAAGTCGGGCGTGTGGAATAAGGAGGCTGTCGGAACCACAAAGCTTCTTTGGAACATACACATACGGTGTGCGTTAATGTTCGCAGAAGTCCACAAGCCCAACAAATATTTCTATTTTTTATAAAATCTAAATGAAAATCCTTCTCACGAGCGTCAGTTTTTCGGTAATATTGCAATTGCAACTAAAAATTTCTAGATTCATTTAAAGCCGTTTGTCCTTAAAAATTTGAAAATTTTCGCCAGCGGCGCTTTAATTCCTTTTTAGTTAATCAATGAATATGCTTCACCTATTCTCAATGTCACGAGCTGCCACTGTGTTACATACAACAATTTAATTTATATTTTAAATCGTTTGAACTGTGTTTGAATCAAGACGGTTTAGGCGTGGTGACAATCATAACGATAACAACCTGATAAAACAATAAAAATTAGTTGTTTGAAAAAGGAGTGTCAAAATTATATACTTATTGTAATTCATATTCTAAGAGTGTTTAATTCAAAACGAGCTCGGAAAGTGAAGATGAGCATTTACCAGGGGAAATGGGAAGCAGCACAAAGTGCTGTTTTACAATTAATCCCCAAAAAATCGTCGAGACAGTACGAGATTGCCTACAACAAATTCAAAAGGTGGTGTAGTTCGAAGAAAATTCAAAAAGTGTCCGAAGCAGTATTACTAGCATATTTCTTACCATATTTAAACCTTCCATGTTATGGTCAGTATCTTCCATGTTAAAAAGTACACCGAGTGCCAAAAAAATGTAAATATCAGAAAATTTGCAAAACTAATAGCATGTTTGAAATGCAAATCAGTTGGATACTGACTTTCGAAAAAATTAAAAATTATTTTGACATTTGTTTTATGTTCTAGAACGCCAAAGTCTTTTTCATTTGTATGTTGCAGCTAGGTGACAAAAAAGACTCACTTTGTCAACTGAAAATTTAACGGAAATGTCAACTTTTGATGAGTTTTCGGAAAAAAATTTGCTTGGAATATATGTCTCTTGTCTAGAATTGGATTAAGTATGAAAGTATTATAGCAAAAGCTGTTATAATATGTTTTTCTCAATAAACAATTTCAGGCCCATTTAGTAAATTTAACAGAGCAAAAGCAATACACATGCACTAGTTCCAAGACCTCTTCTTTCTACAATTGGAAAATTTTCACTTGAGATCTGAAATGCATAAATCAAAAAGATACACTTCCATTCCCCCTCCACTACTTTGCCCCTGTGCATTCAACCCTCAGGGCTCAAATGAATTTGGTTTACTTGTATGTAAACACCCTTGTACAAATATTTATTATCAAAATTTACAAAAATAACTTGAGATCAATAACTTACGTAACACTGTTTTCTCATTGCATTCCTGTTCTTGTTTCTCTTGTTCAGATTTCATTTTACTTGGACTACTTGGTGGACTGAGAGAAGATAAACTTCCAGAGGCTGCTGATAAATTTTCTCTACTTGCATTCTTGTCTTCTAGTGGTGATTTACGTGTTAAATTTTCTTCTGTTGTACTAGTCTCCTTGTATAGGCATTTTGAGGTAAATTCTTTTTTATTATCTTTTTCCTTAACATTTTGATGTGATTTAGAAAAATGTTTCAAATCATTATCTGGAGACGTAAGGATAAAGCTGGCTATTTGTTCTTGAACAGATTTCTCGAATTGCGGTAAAATTTTTGAAGGACTACCAACTGGACTTTCTTCTTTCAATGAGCCTGTGTAAGTAGTTGGAATAACAGATGCAGGTCTTTCTTTCCTAAGGACTTTAGGCCTTCTCGATGCATCGGTTCTAATTGGAGGTGGAGGTGGAGAAGTAGGTGGACTTTTCAATCTACTGCTAAAAGAAGCACTTCTTGTAGCCCCTTGGCTTGCTTTGTTATCACTGACTATCTCTTTATTGCTATTATTAACAGCTAATTTAACTTCACTTTTATTAGGATCGCTATTATATCTACTGCTACGTGTTTTTGAAAAATGGGAAGTCCAGTTCCTCTGTCTTTCAATCAACTCCTTACTATTAAATTTTCTTTCTGGCTTTTCGGGCTTTTCTGGTTTATCTGGTTTATCAGGTTTTTTCATTACAATAGGTTTTACTCGTTCGTCATTTTTAATTTCAAATTCCTGATTATTAACATTCAAGTCAATCATCTTCTCTGAATGATCTTTAAAGCCGTTAGGTTTACTTGCAGTATTACTAACAATAGATACAGTGTTATTTTCCAAAGGAGAAGGTGACCTAGAGCCATGGCACGACTTTGTGTCTCTTGTTTCACTGTTTGCGGAACTAGTTCTTGATCTAGAATCCAAAATACTTGAAGCACTCTTAGTAGATTGTAAAGGTATTATTCTATCTCGACCAGTCTTATTTTCTTCCCCAAGTTTTTCAAACATCGCTCTGGCATTGTTAAATCTTGTTACATGTGATTCTGTTCGCATGACTGTCACAGCAGGACTATCAGTGTCAATTTTTTCAGTAGCACAATGAGAATATTTCTGCTTAGTTTTCAGTGGAGTAATAATGTCTTCTTTTTGTCCAGGACTTCTCCCTTGAAAGATATTAGCTATTTCAGAGACTTTAGATCCACCAAAACGAGGTAATTTTTTCTCGTCCATGATATGGAAATTAATATCTGCAAAAAAAATAAAATATATATAAATAACAATCATAAACATATGTTCTATATATTTTTTTTCGAAGGCTACTATTACTTTTTCTATGTTGGAACTGTTTTTCTGTTCATTCACTTACAAACGATATTTCATAACTCAATTTAAATCATATTAAAGAAAAAAAATCTAATCTTATATCCTTCATCTGATAAAAATTTTGATAAATAAATCCAAGATCAGAAGCATCTTGCAATGTTGGAAGCTTGCTTTGTCACCCCTGTACAAAGTAGACTTCCGTTTTTTCCAAGATTCTTAAAAAAATTATTTACATTCAAATTAGAAATTATATAGATTTAATTCATTTCAAAGGACCCCGCACAAACCTTATGGGTTTGAGTACCCGGTCGATTTGTCTGAATTTTTTTTTCGCAAGTCTGTGCGATTTAATGGATGATACCCTTAGAGTAGCTGATAGAGGAATGATTGTAGCAGTGGTTATGCGGGATTATTCCTGCATAACACATTTGACTCTCTGTATTTAAAATACTCCTTCCTAAATTCAATTTTTATGGCTTTTCAGAAGGTGCTCTGGAGTGGTTTAACATGTATCTGCAATAACAGGTAAAAACAAATCTCGATGGTAATGAAATGGTATCTAATCCATTAAATATACAGTGTGTCCCAGAAGTAACGCAAAAAATTCGTATTTTATTTTGTGTTGCGTTTTCACAAAAACGCTAAAACACGTCAATTAGTAAATAGGAAATGTCATTTTGTCACGTTGCTTGAACCTTTTTTGCGCTATGTTTCATAAACCTATGATGTCATCAACATTTTTTTTTAAATAGCACTACCTAATTTTTTAAGCATAAATGGATAGTCCTTTTGAAGGGAAATACGTCGATATAGGGTTTGGCCTACTTTACTTTGACAGGAGCGAAAAAAAAGCCAATGACTGGAATGGATATGGTTTAAAACAACAACAAAAGTAGGTATCATAAACTGATGCGAGAACAGTGCTACAGCAAAAAATTTGTGGATGTTTTGTGTTTTGGTTGATTGTAGATACGTTTTTATGTATTGACATGTTGGCGTTTTAGGCTATATGACGAACGGCAGTATGTGGATTTTCAGTGACAGCTAAACATAACATTTTGCCTATCATTTTCTATCACTATCGTTGGCCTTCCAGATCTAGACAGATCTCTAGCATGGCCAGCGTCTTCAAATTTGCGTACTAATCTGCACACAGTGGACGGAAGTATTGGTTGTTCTGGATACTTGGGATTGAATAATTGACATACTTCATCATAACTATGGATCCTATCTCCGTATCCAACAATAATTAGGATTTCAGTTCTTGTTTCTTATTTAAACACAACACCATCGTAATGTAAAGTTATGGTATTTGTAACTGTCACAATGATATGAGGCACTATTGCATTCGCTAACTGTCGTCTTCAGAACAATGCCTACATTGCCGCTGTGATCGGGTGTATCTACCCAATCTACATAAAAACATGTACCTACAATCGACCAAAACACATTTTTTGCTATTGCACTGGTTGCGCATAAGTTTGTGATACCTACTTTTGTTATTAATTCAATCCATGTTCATTCCAATTATTGGCTTTTCTTTCGCACCTGTCAAAGTAAAGTAGGCCAAACCCTATATCAACGCATTTCCCTTCAAAAGGGCTATCCATTTATGCATAAAAAATAAGGTAGTGCTATTTAAAAAAAATGTCGATGACGTCATATGTTTATGAAACATAGCGCAAAAAAGGTTTAACCAACATGACAAAAAGACAATTCCTATTTACTAATTGACGTGTTTTAGCGTTTTTGTGAAAACTCAAAACAAAATAAAATACGAATTTTTTGTGTTACTTCTGGGACGCACTGTATATAGTGGTATTTCACTAAGGATCCATACTGGGCCCTTTACTATTTGTATTATACAGGGTGTTCTGAAAGTCCGTCAGGAAACTCCAGGAGGTAATTCTACAGATTAAAATAATAGCAGTATGTAATGAAATTTTTATTTGAATTGTCAATTGTTTGCAAGTTACAGCTTGTCAAGATTCAATATTTTTTATTTTTTATTTAAATAACTTATTTAATTCAAGTTCGATTAGTCTTTCATTTGGCACACCCACTAAGTAGATGAAGCTTTATTGGACCAGTCAGTCAAACTCAAAATTTGCTTTGTTCATAACTTTTTTCTCTTGCTAGACATCGCAGAAATTTAAACATAATTGAAAAGAGAAACAATATCAGATGAAATTAAATACTCTTTGTTCAAGCACATAAATGTAACCATTTACCAGAAAATCGCTATTAATGTATTATTAAACATCAAATTTTTGATCATTCTTTCTGTAATTAATCAAGTTGCTATGCTTCAAATAAAAATTATTAGTAATTTTGGTGTTACAAATTATAATAAAAATTGTTTAAGGCAGGTTTGTTTGATTTTTCACCATAATAAATTTTTTTTTCGGCTCTGTAATAGCGTTGTGGAAAAATAAGCGGAGGATAATGAATTTACTAATAACATTTTATTTACTAACGAAGCTGGTTTTACAAGAGATGGTAGTACGGCATGGCAACTTGATTAATTGCAGAAAGAATTATCAAAAATTTGATGTTTAATAACACTTTAACCATTTTTTAAAGACAAAATTAATTCTCTTAGCTTCCTTATAGAAGGAAATTGTTTGGACAATTGCCTGAAATCAGAAGAATAAAGGATAAATGTATTTTCACTGCTACATTCTTATAAAGAATTTGTCAATTTCAACACTAGAATTTTAACATTCTTTTTGTCTCTAAAAATTGTTTTTTTTATCCAAACTTGTTACCTAGACTAGTCCAGGAAGTTTTTGAGGGGAATCTGAAGGAAAATCAATTGGCACTATTGCCAATAGAGAAATTTTTACTCAATATTCCTATGGCAGTTCCTCTGGAACCCCCTTAACAGAATCTATTGTCACTTAAATAAATAATAAAAAAAATAATAATAATCATAGAAATTGTATGCGAACATTTCTAAGAATCTCACAAGACACCAATGAAAAGAATATTTAGCTGAACTGTTTATGTAACTATTCACAACTAAAAAAAAATTATTTCTTAAAGTTTATTTAATCATACAAATATTCTTTGAAATAGAAGGTATTTGAAAAAATATTTTCTTGACTATATGTTAAATTAATTCATATCATTTATTATTATAATGTAAAGTCTTATTTTATTGGTTATAAATGTGACAAACACAAATATTTAACTTTTATATTTTTAAATTTAGAAAAAAAATTACATTTAATAAAGTTGTACTTGATACTGAAATTTTGTGGTGTTCTTATGCATAGCATGACAAACAAAATTTGATTTTTTTTATTTGAACATTCTGTACATTATAAGTATTCAATTAAACACTGGTTTACAGTATGGTTTAATTTCGGATTTATCTCTAATGTTACGGAAGATTTTTTGCTGGTAGTAGATGCTGTAAGTGTAATGTGGCATTTTCTAATGGCCTTTTTTTACTTACTACAAGTAGATACAATGTAAGGGCAATAGTAGTAACATACATATACATATGTAGAAAAGACCTAAAATAACTATTAATAATAAAATCTAATCTTGCATCTAATAAATTATCTATAAATCAAGTAGAAGCGAGTAGAAGCTAACAATGAAGAAATTTTAAAATTAGGTGTCAAGAAAATAGTATGACAACAGCTGTTTGCAATCAACTGCGTACAGATAGGAAATAACGTGAATATACTCGTATAAGCTGTTTCTGTTGTGAGTCAGTTGTAAAAAAGGAAAGTTCATATAAGTAATTGAAAATTTGATTTAGAAATTAAGCTAACATTTAAGTGTGTTACATACCTATTTTGACTTGCAATTAAGAATTGTAGTTTGTAATGAAAACATTAAAACAAAATATATTATTTGGTGTACCTACCACAAATATTAATTATTACAGTACATTATACAGATTCGATACTAGATATATTTCATTGATACTACTAAAATGTAGAAATTATAAGTTTTTTGGACAAAATTTGCAAAATAAAAAATTAAAATAGGGATTTTTCACCCAAACGTCAAAAAGAGTTGCAAATATATATTTATTTCATAATCAACTGTCAAGTACAAACAAGTATTTAATTATTTTCCCCAAATTTTTTAGTTATACCTAATGAACTTTGAGATATGAAATGTTAGAGTCAAATTAAAATTTAAATAAGTACAACTACAAATTTAATCTTTGTATGTTCATTATGAAAAAAATATATATTCTGCATCTATGTGCAACACTTCCTTGAAATTTCAGTGAACCTAAAAATCAATTAAATCATCTAAACAGTATGGGTTCCACAGAGGGTTTTACAGTTCATTATCAAAATATGACTAGGTACTTTAATTACAATTACAGTAAAAAAAAATTGAATTATACTTAATTTTTGTTCTAGGCATTAATTGGTGAAATAAATAAACTGAATGAGTATTCTTGAAAGAAACAAATAATACAAATTTAGATACAATAGATACAGATGATTTACATTAAAATTAAAAAGTATTGCCTCAAATTTGAAATCTCTAAATTTCCTATGACTTCTTAATTAATGTCGAAATGTTCCCAGTTTAGTTCTATATTATTATTGCACTTATCATTAAAGTGATTATTCATGTCATTGGAGACAGATCCATCAGACCTTATATTGATGTAATCATCAAAGAATGTTTTATTCAAATATAACAAAGTATAGAGTGCATCAGTTAAGAAAATAATAAACAAGTTTTTCACAATTTTTAAAAGGTACAAAATTCAATATCATTATAAAATACTTCTTGTCGACAGATACAAATTTCTTCTTTAGCATTTGTATATTCAAACTTTTTTATTAAGAAAAACAATACATGTACAAAATTCATAGAAATTTCATGGCAGAGTATAAAATCATCTATAAAAGTGAGAATTCGCTGCAATCAGAAAGCAATTGCC